ATTTCAGTGAAAGAGGTTGGAACTCTGGATCTTTTCTTATTGGAATATGGGCTCCAACATTATATTTATTATCTAATTTGAGTTACAGAATAAAGTCATTTGCTACACAATTTTAAATAGGTTTTCTATAAACTTAAACAATAAAATAATTAATGTTTCGTGTGACTCTAGGAGTTCTTTTTGTGGAATGACAGTGATGTTTATGAGAAAACACCTTCTTGATTCTTGTAACATTATTTCAAATATCAGAGTTGCTAAACTGACATCTGAATTTTTTTATCAAATTTTATTAGGTGACAGTTTTGCCATGTTAACATTATATAAATTGTAAATTTTTTCTTCATACCGTATATCAACTTTAACATAACAATGTAATTTGTATCCTTTTGTAATAGTTCCCGTTATATGATATAATAAAGCTTGATTGATTGATTTTAAAAAATGTCATCACGTGAAAATGAATAATTATTTAACTGGAATGGCTGAATATACAGACGATTTCGATGCATCGTGTTTTCGTGTACATCACATACATCTTCAAACCACTTAGAAAATACTCTCTGACTATTATGGCAACCAACCACTGCACAATATCTTCCGGAAGGTTTTTATAAGGCATGTATCCAATGAAAAACTAAAAATTGCAGACCTATACTAACAACTAGCAGTATCAGAGTCGATAGATATATTGGTTTCTCAGCTACCAGTAGCTCTAAGGCTACGAAAGCTATCCGTAGCTGAGAGACCAGTATATTTATCGAATCTGGCAGTATCTTAACGACTAAAGATTGTAGAACCTTTGCAATAAAAGGGCAGTTTGAACACTAGCCCATTTTTACTTGTTCTGTTCTTCGTCAGTTACGAACTGCGCAACCTCAACCAAACATCGTTGTTGATCGATCACCACAAGTAAAATAGCCGACTATAACTCGACTTATATCTGTATTTATTTTATCTTAGAATATCAGCAGAGGCGAATTTAGGAGTGCATAGGGTACAACTGATCCCTTCCTGAGGATTTATTCGAGCCCACCATTGGCTGAGTTGATAAAACTACTGAATACTGGTAATTGTAGTGGATTCGTGCATTTTCCGGGTTTTCTTCATGTTTGTAACACCTAAATTGAGCCAGTTTCCTATAGAAAGTCCTCCTGAGAGGCATTGCCCACGTGTCGCATTATCCTAACCAAACCTAACCAAACCGATTTCCAAGTAAAGCCAGGTAGCTCAGGTAGCAAAAACTTAAAAGGCATAAGTTATCGTTCCTTTCTGCATCCCTCCAAAAATTTCTTCGAGGAAACTGTAAAACTGAAAAATGAATTAAACAAACAAAGTCAAATTATAAAACAAAAAGTATAAAACTACTGTATAATCAAAATATGTCAAAAAACTTTATCTGTGACAAACACGTAAATGTTATATTGTATAAAACAAAATATGCATGCACTAATATATAGGAATAGGGAGTGAACCCAATCGATGTTTATTGAACGCTTCTCGTGGCTATGAACAATTAAGACAAAAAGTGAATTCACAATTGATTTTAACCCGGTGCACGCTGTTATGTTTCAGCCGTCAGCAGAAAAAAACCTTCGCTGATGCCACTGCCGATTTTAATTACAGTAGAACCTCGNGATGTCTTTCCTTGATGTAGAGAACAGAATTAGATAGATGAAAGTCTAGTATGGAAACCTTAGGGGAAGGAGGCCCCGATGTAGTATATACGAACTTCCGATGCAAATCAGAAGTCAACGTTATTTCTATTCAAAATTTCCTCCTAAAAGGTGTTAGATAGATGAGCGGCACGACTTTATTGTTAAAGGAGAAGTATGATGTACAGGAGCAAGCCATTACTAATTCGAGGTGGAGAGCATATATTTTAAATTAAATTAATTAAAAGTATAATTAAAAATTGCAGCTCGACATTGCGACGATGTCACAATAAATAATTGCTCGTTCTAACTTATATAACTATTTTGTAAAAGTTAATATAACTACATTATGAGAAATAACGTATGTTTTTAAAATGCTACCTTTTTAAAAATCCCGCGAATGAGTCTGGTTATATATAGACACACACACACACACACACATATATATATATATATATACAGTATATGTGTAGTTCATGCGTATTATGTTATGCAGAAGAGTAGGTTACATAGAACATCTTGTTAAATTTTCTTACATTATATAATTATAGGAACATAGGTTGTCTTTACAGCTCAGATTTACGGGATAAAGTACACATCATCATCGTTATTCTCTGCACGAGACCTTAGTTGTTTCATATATGCATATAGGGTTTTCCCTTTACAGATTTATAAATCCTGTTCTTACGTAAACTTATAAGCTTACGTAAGAACAGACTTAACGTTAACTTATAAGCAAGACCGTAATGGAGCAGAGCGTATACTGCAGTACACTTTCGTAGAAATCTCATTTATCCTCCCGTTATGCGATTTTTCGTATAAGTAGAAGGTATACTATAATAAATCTGAGAAATAATATTTTTTTTTAATCTCAAATAATCGATGCAATACCTTCATCTTTTACTTTTATAGTAGAGGAGACTAGACAAGTTGATACGATTTTTGGTTTTTAACTTTTTTAAATTGTTATTTATAGTAGTTAGTTACTACGGAGATGATATATACAGTAGAGTCTCTATAGTCTGTCACTCGCCAGTCCGACAAGTCCAGTAATCTAACACTCTGCAAGGCGGCGTGCATAAAATTTTCATGTTATCACTTCTCGATGTATGCGACAGAGAAATATTGATGTACTGTACAGCACAGTATACACGCACAGTAAGTACTGTACGTGTCAGTCACTAGTTGTACGTGCGGTCGGCAAAACAGTCACAACCGTGATTAATATGACAAACTAACTTGTGAATCAAGTGTGTTTTTACTGTACAGCGCATACACGCATACAAAATCCAGTAATCCGATTCCTGCCGATATGTCGGATTATAGCAACTCTACTGTAAATTACAATATAGTTTGGTTATAAGTAAAAAAAAAATGAAAAAATTGAATAAACTATGAATGAAAAAAATGTTAAATGAAACATCTCAAACTGTATCAATTTACTCCACTGAGGTCTGAGGGGCAAATTGATATATGCGCTGAAATAAGTTGCTACATCTGTGAAGCATCTGGTGTGACTCTTAATAACTTGATACATTAACATAAAACTGAATAAAAATTATTGTTGTCAATCAAAACTTTAGTTTATTCAATAGTTCTGTTGGTTTACCTGAGAAAATTAATACAGTTGAACCACGAAAACATTTTTATACTTTAACTTAATTGATACACACAAGAACAGTTTTATATCTTCAGTTTCTACATGAAATTTTAAATAATTAACCACTTTCACTGTTAGAACAAGATTAAATCCGAGTAATTATTAATGAATACATAATTGAGAGACAGATGAGGCAGGCGTTTAATTAAATATTGAACGATTTGAATGCCAATCACATTTGTATTCCAAATATTTTTGTTTGTAAAGTCATACAGTATTTGTATATAACAGTTTTTAAAAAGAAAATTGCCTTTCGCTTAAACTAAAACTTCTTATTAACCTACGGTATTAAAAATTTATATTCATATTACGTGTAAAACTTATGTTACATTTTTCTTCAGGTTTCAATTTAAGTTATTTTCTCGCTACTTTTTTTAAAAATAAAATTTTATGATAATAATAATGAATCAATTTTGAAAATTCATGAAAATTTATTATAACTTGTTTCATTTGCATACTTTTATTTACACGATTTTACTATTTACTCCCGATTTGCTAATAACGTGATCTCGTTGTGTTTAATTAAAATTTTTTAAACTATAAAACTAAATTGATTTATAATTTAGCCTTTTTTTGCGCAATTTGTATTCAATAGATCAAATTGTTGCTCTTGGTAATGGGGAAGTATCGTAATAGATGCGCTCTTACCGTCAAGAGGGATCAGCTTTGAATCCGACCTAACGTAATTTGCATAGGTAGTTAGCATCAGAATTTATTTTCGTTTCTTTTCTGTAATGAAGACCATCCAGAAAATCAATTTATAATGCAATATGCCAAAATCTTCGTGGAAAAATCCAATCGTCATCGATGATCTTGGCGTTATAACTGTCAATTAGTATTATTTAATTGTTTGTATTGTTCTTCGTTTATATTGTACGAATAATACAGATGTAATTCTTTAATGCGATGAAAAGATTATATTTAGAAACAGGGAGAATGCAAGAAGGTTCAGAAAGACATTGTCAAAGAACTAGCGAATATTCTGCCTGTCGATGTTTGTTTAAATTATTTATTTCGGTAACTTATGTTTTTGAAGTATTACCTACGGAAGATACTATTTCGAGATATGTTAATTTTTGTATCAATGATATTTTTATTTACTTTTGTTTAATTATAATAAAAAATAATATACTATTTTTGCGCGAATACTATCAATTTTACACTAATAATTTATTAAACGATTTGTGTCATAGATTTTCTGAGGCGTTGCCTATAAATTCATGTTTACGTCGTGATTCCTTTGGCGAATGAACAATTCTACATTGGCAAATTAGTCATTTTCAGTTTAGAAACCAGTAATTAGTCAATGATTCGAACACAGTTATTATTCTAATATTTCAAAACACTTTTTCTACATGCGTAAATCAATGAACTCATAAATTATAAAAGACCAATTACAGTATCATCTTTTAAAAAAGGAAACTGAATAACTTTTAAAGATTAAATCAACTGGATTAGATTTTTAAAAAATTCTTCCCACTATACGAATATTGAGAATACATTTTCTTTTATTTTTCATAGATCAGCGATGATAACGAGTCAAATTATTCGTGAAAATCTTATTTTACTGCAGTTTTAGCTGTGAATAATGTTGATGCTGAAGATAATTAAAAAAAACTATTTTAAATTTATTATAACCAATACCTTTTAAAATACAGTACATCTTAATTTTATAACAATGATTTCAGGTATTTAAGCATTTACAAATTTATGATCGTGCTCAAGCTGCTCGTGTATGTCAGCATTGGTATAGAGTGTATCAAGTACCTCAATTATGGCAATCGTTTGAATTCATCATCAGTCAACCGCAAAGGTCAAAATCTTACTTTATTACAATGATTAAGAAAAGTTTTGTAATGATAATTATAAATAATAAAACTAAGATAATATTTTATAAACTACGTTACGTAGTTAGTTTATATAACATAAATATGCCTATCTTTATGTAATCGTTTCAGATCATCCCTTCAACCAACATCACCGGCTTTAATTCAGTACATTCTTAATCAACATGCCAAGCATCTCCGTTTTGTAACATTCAAAGTAGACAGTAGCCAAGAATCTGCAGAAATGGCGTGCCGTATTTTGGCACAGTTAGTTGATTGTTCTCTTAAGACACTAGGTCTCATATCTTCAGCCAAACCATCATTTATGAAACTTGATCCCGACCGATTCGTGTCTGCATTAACTCTTGTAATTGATAAATGTCATTCGCTTTCTTCACTCGCCATTGAAGAAACACCGGTTGATGATCCATCATTACAACTTTTGGCTACTAATAGTTGCAATTCTTTGGAACTTTTGTGGATGAAAAGTTGTCCCAATGTATCTGCTAAAGGTAGCTTTTCTTTTAGCTTCATATAGTTTTTTAATTAATGAATGCTAAACAAAAATTTTGAAAATAATTAACTATAAATTTTAAATAAAACTTTGTTTTAGGTATTCAGGCGGTTGCTGATCATTGTCACCAATTATGTGAATTAACTCTTAATTATTCTTTGTTGAGCGACGATTTATTATTAGCTCTGTCTTCTGAAGAGCATGCACGTCTTAAATTTATGAGAGTTGATGTATCTTCAGATGATTTACAGGTATGTTGATAATATAATTATAATAAATATAAAAGTTTTATCTTAAATTTCAAATTAGAAATGACAGATGGTATTGTGAAGAAGTTTCATGCTAACAAACAATAGTTGTGTCAGATATAAAGTAAAGATTATTCTCCGAGTCATGTTCCTCTTGTTCTTATTTGCGATAAGAGCATTAATGATAAAAGTTATTATACTTTGTATTGTTGTTTGTCAAATCAAAACTTGCATAATTTGAGTTGGTTCTTATCACATAACATGTTAATTGGAACTTGTTTTATAACTAATATTGACATAGCAATTCAGGTTTTTTATAATTGATTGTTGACAACGATTAAAAATTTTATATCAGTAATAAAAAGAGAAGTTATTTTGAAACTTGTCAGACAAAATAGGTTAAAACTTTTGTACTTTCTAATAGTACGAAAGCCTTATGTAATAAAAAACAAGAATTTTATATCCTAAAATTAAACAAAACATTCATTTAAGAATATTATGATTAGGACGAAAATGAAAATTAATCAGTCTACAGAGTACCTTATAACTCCTAATAATAACTCCTAAAAATAGCAATATTTGCCGGATATAATCATTTACTTTTATAACCATTTAAAAGGTATATCTTCTGCCGAAAAATGAGCCAACAGAATAGGTCGAATGTCACTTCACTCTTTCAACCTATGAATCAAAGCGTAATTCAAAATTTAAAAGTCAGTAGAAACAAATGGTTAATCCCAAATGTAACTTGTGGAACATCACTCAAAGTGCTGACCAAGCAATTCAATGTCTTTCAAACCATTTTATGGATTTCAAGTATTTGGAGACAGGTTCTGCAATCAACAATTTAAGAATTGCTTTATCAAAGCTGTATGTTTTTTGGCAATGAGAACAATTACAACTTTGCAATTACAATTACGTCTGGGGCCGCCGCAAGCGGGCTTGCACAGTACGCGACCTCCATTGTCAAAGAAGCGCTAAAAAGCATTCCAAATTAAGTACTTATTCGATTTGAATTGTGTAATGATATAAAATGAAACAAAACATTACGTTGAAAAAATAAACTGTGAGCTTCAACGGTCCAAGTGTTAATACGTTAAAGAAAACATTAACATTATTTAATTATATAATCGCATTGTTAATTATAACCTTATTCCAACAATCTACTAAGTTTAGAATTCCTTTTCTGAAGAAAACTTTTTTCTTTGGATACTAAACTCCTTTGTACATTATGTTGCGAATGGAAGGTTTTATTTCTTATGCTGTATTCTAAGGACCTAGTCATTAGGGGCAATATCCGGCAAAAATAGAGGATGTGGTAGAAGTTCCCATCTTAACTGCCTAATTTTTTCTTAGCCATTCTTGCAGAATGTGGTTTTGCATTATCTTTTTGCAATATTACCCCTTTTCAAGTGACAAGCGCAGGACATTTCATTAACAATGGCTTCTGTGACAGTCTTACGTTGTTCCATGAGTTTGTAACGAATCACCGAGTAATTCAATTGATTACATGTTAAATTATAAGGTTTATATAATAAAAAATTTAAATTTAAAAATATTAAACCGAAGAAATTTTAGTTATTTTTAAAAATTTAATTAGTTACTTTATGTAATAATGGAGATATATTTCAAAATACATGTAAATTAAAGATTTTCATTTATGTAAGTTTGCAGGAATGTAAAAGTATAAAAGCTATTTCAACTTTTCAAGCTCTGTTATATATAACAGATGGAAAGTATGGCGATTGGTCAAAAACTTGGGGGTTTCTATATGTATGGATGTTAGTGTGTGGGAGGCACGATTTTTGTTTACTTTCTTTGAAGCTTAATAACGCCTGTGCTTTTTGTCAAAAATTTCTGAAATTTTGCAGAGGGTTTATGTGTTAGGAGGATTGATGCTATTAAATTTTGGTTGTTAAAGGTCAAGGGGTTGGGAGATAACGGGATAGTGTGTATCTCCAGTAGGATCGGACTTCATGACGATTATACTGATTATAAGCATTTACAATCATTGTACAAAACTCATCACTGCCCTCTAAATTAAGCATTTTGCTATTTTATAGTAATTAATAATATAAAACGCAACAAAATCGCATAACAGATGGCGCCACATACAATTTTATTTATTATGGTTAATGATATAAATGTTATTTTAAAAATAAAATCACTTAGCCGCCGGGAAAGTTATTCAACTCGTTGCTAATTGTTTTTAAACTCAGATAATTAGCAAAAATTATCAACTCTCTTTTATAACTGATCCGCACAATTGGGTATTAAAATTTTTACTCTAACTGGTATACAATTCATTTTTTTGATTTACAATTTTTGAATTATTAATGAAACAATCTAAAAACAAACATTTTTCGGTATAATATATTAAAAAGCGGGACTGTTTCCCCTAATTTGAGATGTCTGGTCACTTACACACCACGTAAAATCGATTCCATTCATTAGAACGATACTAATAAATTCTAATGAGTTCAAAATTAAACTTCAAAAATTTCGAGCTTTAATAATAATAATAATATTTAAATTCTGCAAATAATTATTTGAATAATTTTGATTTAATTTTGTACAGCACTTGGATATAAATTTAAAAATTTTTTTCTCCGGAGAAAAGAATACTGTAATGAATTTAGAGATACAGATATTGCCATCTGTTGGAAATTTTTATCATTAAAATTTCGCATTAAATAGAAAATTATAAAACATTTAATTTTATGGGTTTTTATGATAATGTCGTTTTTGTGAATCGTCGATGATTGATACATTAATTTAAGAAAGTAAAATAAGTGAATAAAGAAATTGCATTTTAAGTATTTATGAAAAGACATACAGTACTGTATATCAACAATTTTCCAGAGAAGGTTCATTATTTTCCCGTACAGTAGCGCCACCGTCGCGCCGCCATTAAGCTACTGCAAAAACTAGGAACTGGGAATATAATTGATTTTGAAATTACTAATAGAAATTCATCCATAATGCCCAATTTTGTTAGTAATTGTAACGGATTTTATATTTTAAATTGTATCAGAATTAAGTCTGATGCAAAATTTTCGCGGATTTTTGCACAGTTTCTTCTACACAATTGTATTTTCTAATTTATTTTCAAATGGACAATCGTTTTCACTAATTAATACTATAAAATCTTGAAATAATTATACGAGAGAATATCCAGCTGTATTTGAATACCTTATTAAAAGTAAAGCCTGTGATTATCAAGAAATGCTTAATGACAGGAATCTTGACAACAATTATTTTTCAAGTGGTAAAATAGGTGAAATTTTAATTAATAAGTTGTCACAAAACATTTATGTCCTTATGACAAATATAGAGCCATCACAAACCCTTTCTGTAAGTCATCATTCTGTATGGACTTGTGTCTAATAATGGCAGTTATTTATCTAGCTGGATGTAAATGCATGGCTGGTTAACTATTCTCTTTTTAAATTTTAATCGTGGGACTAAAGTTGTTCTAATTTAAGTAGGTGTTCCATATTAACAGATTGACTCAGGATCTGTACTGAGAATGGAATTGGGAACACCTCCTCTCGCTATTTATTGATAAATTTGTTTCGGTTTTGGAGGAAACATGGAATTACAGGAAGACAATTATCGAAAATTGATATATACAGTACAAAACTTTCACGTATTAATAATAATTCTTTTTCGGCCTGTTATAGAAAGGACTAATAAACAATATTGGACTGTCCTCCTTTAGCTATACATAATTCTCAAGTAAAAGTTTGTTTCTTCTAGATTGCGATCAACATCTAAGAGACATATTGGTTACATGTTTATTATTTCAGTGAAAGAGGTTGGAACTCTGGATCTTTTCTTATTGGAATATGGGCTCCAACATTATATTTATTATCTAATTTGAGTTACAGAATAAAGTCATTTGCTACACAATTTTAAATAGGTTTTCTATAAACTTAAACAATAAAATAATTAATGTTTCGTGTGACTCTAGGAGTTCTTTTTGTGGAATGACAGTGATGTTTATGAGAAAACACCTTCTTGATTCTTGTAACATTATTTCAAATATCAGAGTTGCTAAACTGACATCTGAATTTTTTTATCAAATTTTATTAGGTGACAGTTTTGCCATGTTAACATTATATAAATTGTAAATTTTTTCTTCATACCGTATATCAACTTTAACATAACAATGTAATTTGTATCCTTTTGTAATAGTTCCCGTTATATGATATAATAAAGCTTGATTGATTGATTTTAAAAAATGTCATCACGTGAAAATGAATAATTATTTAACTGGAATGGCTGAATATACAGACGATTTCGATGCATCGTGTTTTCGTGTACATCACATACATCTTCAAACCACTTAGAAAATACTCTCTGACTATTATGGCAACCAACCACTGCACAATATCTTCCGGAAGGTTTTTATAAGGCATGTATCCAATGAAAAACTAAAAATTGCAGACCTATACTAACAACTAGCAGTATCAGAGTCGATAGATATATTGGTTTCTCAGCTACCAGTAGCTCTAAGGCTACGAAAGCTATCCGTAGCTGAGAGACCAGTATATTTATCGAATCTGGCAGTATCTTAACGACTAAAGATTGTAGAACCTTTGCAATAAAAGGGCAGTTTGAACACTAGCCCATTTTTACTTGTTCTGTTCTTCGTCAGTTACGAACTGCGCAACCTCAACCAAACATCGTTGTTGATCGATCACCACAAGTAAAATAGCCGACTATAACTCGACTTATATCTGTATTTATTTTATCTTAGAATATCAGCAGAGGCGAATTTAGGAGTGCATAGGGTACAACTGATCCCTTCCTGAGGATTTATTCGAGCCCACCATTGGCTGAGTTGATAAAACTACTGAATACTGGTAATTGTAGTGGATTCGTGCATTTTCCGGGTTTTCTTCATGTTTGTAACACCTAAATTGAGCCAGTTTCCTATAGAAAGTCCTCCTGAGAGGCATTGCCCACGTGTCGCATTATCGTAACCAAACCTAACCAAACCGATTTCCAAGTAAAGCCAGGTAGCTCAGGTAGCAAAAACTTAAAAGGCATAAGTTATCGTTCCTTTCTGCATCCCTCCAAAAATTTCTTCGAGGAAACTGTAAAACTGAAAAATGAATTAAACAAACAAAGTCAAATTATAAAACAAAAAGTATAAAACTACTGTATAATCAAAATATGTCAAAAAACTTTATCTGTGACAAACACGTAAATGTTATATTGTATAAAACAAAATATGCATGCACTAATATATAGGAATAGGGAGTGAACCCAATCGATGTTTATTGAACGCTTCTCGTGGCTATGAACAATTAAGACAAAAAGTGAATTCACAATTGATTTTAACCCGGTGCACGCTGTTATGTTTCAGCCGTCAGCAGAAAAAAACCTTCGCTGATGCCACTGCCGATTTTAATTACAGTAGAACCTCGAAAACTCTGCCTAATGTGGACCGAAGGGTGGCCGAGTTTGTGAAAATGCCGAGTTATCGGGAATGGGATTAAAAAAAATAAGTACGAGTGTTTCCTCAGAAAATACTGTACTGTACTTGTATGTATTGTTTACTTGAGAATATAACAGAGAATAAACTGCCCAAATACCCTTAAGCAAAGGAAAAGTACGTACTTTATGAAGGCACAGAGCCTTTACTACATGAAAATGAAAATTAATGAATACACTGTGTACAGTAATTTACCTGATAAGACAGACCTCAGAAAAATACTTTATGAGAGCTTTTATACTTTTATAAAGTTGTCTATAATGAAAATTAATTAACTAAGGATTTTTTTGCCCTGCCAGGGTGTGGCCGAGTTATCCGGAGTGCTGGGTTATCGAAAGCCGAGTTTTCGAGGTTCTACTGTACCACTTTAGCTTCCTTGCAACATACGTGCCTTTGTCAAACAGTAGCCATGTGTAACTAGTTCGAATGTTTGGATATTTCTAAAATAGAAAAACTTTCTACATATGTGTTATATAGTAAAAGAAGGTGACAAATTATAGTTTCATCTTTTTCATCTCAAAAGCTAACAAGCTTTAAGGGTGAGAAAGATTATTAACTTATTTGCCACTATTAATTAATTTTTAAAATAATACTTTTGCACTTTTCTACAGCTAATTGAATTTGAAACATTTTTTATGTATCTTCTGTCATTTTATTCTGGAATAAAAAAAAAGTTAATTTTATGAATACTGTATAGTCTTCAAACATTCAGTAACATAATTATTGTATTGATTATAAAATATTTTTAACTTCATGAAGTTAAAATATTTCTTAATAAAATACCATAACTTAATTTTTACAAAAAATAAGCAAGCTGAACTTATAAATTCAACATTTTATGAAATTAATTTTCAATTAGAATTTTATTTTACTTTTTATTAGGCTATTGCAGTTCATCATGTTTCATCTGAAAGTTGGCAGGCTCTAGTGAAGCACTCACCAAGTATGTCACTTGTTATGTACATTTTTTTAAGCTTAGAAAATGCTCTAAACCAATTTTTTAATGTAAACATTCCCGTTACTCATTTATATTTTTGTAATTATGTTCCGCAATCAATATTAATTAAAGTGGCAAAACATTGCCCATGTTTGATGGAACTTGTTATTGGATCAAATGGAAATTCCATTATTGACCAAGAAATTTTGTCTGTGGCACGTGGTTGTCCCAAACTTGCATCTTTGGGTTTAGGAATGTGTGAGATATCATGTTCGGCAATACTTGAACTAGTTAAAATCTGTGGAACTCGTCTAAAGAAACTGTATGTCCTTGAAGAATCCATGATTGAAGACGAACAACATGATATTGCCAAAACCTGTTTTGAAGTATCTCATATTATCGGATATGAATGGTGTCCTGATGTAATGCCTGTTTGGTAGTGTTACAGTTGAAAAAGATTAAAACAAAACATTTTCATTCTTTACTAATTATATATAAGGTACTTTTGAATTGTGTAGCAGCACTTTTCATGTAAAGATAAATAATTCATGCTGTGGTTTTTATTTGAAATGATTAAAATATAGGATATAAAGAAAAATCACAAAGTTTGCAAATATCAGAAATTCAATTTCATGGAATACCACCATTCAAAAACTGGGTATACTTGAATTAAAACCTGTAAAATGTTAGCACTTATTTCTTTTACTCTGCTGGATATTTGGTTTTTTAGATGTTTTAATTTGTGTAAAGTGATCAAACTGTCTAATTGATAAATTTTTGTTAGCATGTTGACAATTTAGTAGTTTAAATACCAACATATATGCATTATCATCATCATTAATTTTTGTACAACAATGTTTGTCTAGACATGTCACAATGTTTATATGAAAAAAGTATTTCCGATCCTTTAACCATATATTGTAACAGTGAGAGACAACATGGTCTGAAATGAAGGACAAATGCTACTCTCTGAGGGACATAGTTTATAAATTTAAGAAATACAGAAGTCTCTTTGAAAACAGAAAAGCATTTCCATTCCTTCAAAAATATAAAACTATTTATACAGTACTTCCTTGTTATAGAGCAATGCAAGTCTTGGCTTTTTTTGAAATTTCATTTATTTATTTGTAGAACATTTATAGAACATGAATGCATTCATGTTCTATAAATCAAGAATTTTAGAACAGAAAATGTTGAAGACAAGGTCTTCAAACAAAATTTTGGCATAATATGTTTGATTTGATACCAAAAATAGTCTTAGATGACAAACGATTGCTGGATTACTAATTGCAGGACAAGGGACAAGGCACTGAATATGGGACTGTCTTTCTGGGAGCAAGACAGTTGACAACCATGCATTTCTAGACCATGTTTCTCATAAAAGCTTTTCATCTTTTTTGGTGTGAAAGATGTCTTTGAAAGTTTGATGAATATTTTGGGAATACATTATATTTTTTAATTTATTGTTAACTATAAAAAAATGATTTTTTTTATAGTTAACATTTTTGTATTATTTNATATACTATTTTTACGCGAATACTATCAATTTTACACTAATAATTTATTAAACGATTTGTGTCATAGATTTTCTGAGGCGTTGCCTATAAATTCATGTTTACGTCGTGATTCCTTTGGCGAATGAACAATTCTACATTGGCAAATTAGTCATTTTCAATTTAGAAACCAGTAATTAGTCAATGATTCGAACACAGTTATTATTCTAATATTTCAAAACACTTTTTCTACATGCGTAAATCAATGAACTCATAAATTATAAAAGACCAATTACAGTATCATCTTTTAAAAAAGGAAACTGAATAACTTTTAAAGATTAAATCAACTGGATTAGATTTTTAAAAAATTCTTCCCACTATACGAATATTGAGAATACATTTTCTTTTATTTTTCATAGATCAGCGATGATAACGAGTCAAATTATTCGTGAAAATCTTATTTTACTGCAGTTTTAGCTGTGAATAATGTTGATGCTGAAGATAATTAAAAAAAACTATTTTAAATTTATTATAACCAATACCTTTTAAAATACAGTACATCTTAATTTTATAACAATGATTTCAGGTATTTAAGCATTTACAAATTTATGATCGTGCTCAAGCTGCTCGTGTATGTCAGCATTGGTATAGAGTGTATCAAGTACCTCAATTATGGCAATCGTTTGAATTCATCATCAGTCAACCGCAAAGGTCAAAATCTTACTTTATTACAATGATTAAGAAAAGTTTTGTAATGATAATTATAAATAATAAAACTAAGATAATATTTTATAAACTACGTTACGTAGTTAGTTTATATAACATAAATATGCCTATCTTTATGTAATCGTTTCAGATCATCCCTTCAACCAACATCACCGGCTTTAATTCAGTACATTCTTAATCAACATGCCAAGCATCTCCGTTTTGTAACATTCAAAGTAGACAGTAGCCAAGAATCTGCAGAAATGGCGTGCCGTATTTTGGCACAGTTAGTTGATTGTTCTCTTAAGACACTAGGTCTCATATCTTCAGCCAAACCATCATTTATGAAACTTGATCCCGACCGATTCGTGTCTGCATTAACTCTTGTAATTGATAAATGTCATTCGCTTTCTTCACTCGCCATTGAAGAAACACCGGTTGATGATCCATCATTACAACTTTTGGCTACTAATAGTTGCAATTCTTTGGAACTTTTGTGGATGAAAAGTTGTCCCAATGTATCTGCTAAAGGTAGCTTTTCTTTTAGCTTCATATAGTTTTTTAATTAATGAATGCTAAACAAAAATTTTGAAAATAATTAACTATAAATTTTAAATAAAACTTTGTTTTAGGTATTCAGGCGGTTGCTGATCATTGTCACCAATTATGTGAATTAACTCTTAATTATTCTTTGTTGAGCGACGATTTATTATTAGCTCTGTCTTCTGAAGAGCATGCACGTCTTAAATTTATGAGAGTTGATGTATCTTCAGATGATTTACAGGTATGTTGATAATATAATTATAATAAATATAAAAGTTTTATCTTAAATTTCAAATTAGAAATGACAGATGGTATTGTGAAGAAGTTTCATGCTAACAAACAATAGTTGTGTCAGATATAAAGTAAAGATTATTCTCCGAGTCATGTTCCTCTTGTTCTTATTTGCGATAAGAGCATTAATGATAAAAGTTATTATACTTTGTATTGTTGTTTGTCAAATCAAAACTTGCATAATTTGAGTTGGTTCTTATCACATAACATGTTAATTGGAACTTGTTTTATAACTAATATTGACATAGCAATTCAGGTTTTTTATAATTGATTGTTGACAACGATTAAAAATTTTATATCAGTAATAAAAAGAGAAGTTATTTTGAAACTTGTCAGACAAAATAGGTTAAAACTTTTGTACTTTATAATAGTACGAAAGCCTTATGTAATAAAAAACAAGAATTTTATATCCTAAAATTAAACAAAACATCTATTTAAGAATATTGTGATTAGGACGAAAATGAAAATTAATCAGTCTACAGAGTACCTTATAACTCCTAATAATAACTCCTAAAAATAGCAATATTTGCCGGATATAATCATTTACTTTTATAACCATTTAAAAGGTATATCTTCTGCCGAAAAATGAGCCAACAGAATAGGTCGAATGTCACTTCACTCTTTCAACCTATGAATCAAAGCGTAATTCAAAATTTAAAAGTCAGTAGAAACAAATGGTTAATCCCAAATGTAACTTGTGGAACATCACTCAAAGTGCTGACCAAGCAATTCAATGTCTTTCAAACCATTTTATGGATTTCAAGTATTTGGAGACAGGTTCTGCAATCAACAATTTAAGAATTGCTTTATCAAAGCTGTATGTTTTTTGGCAATGAGAACAATTACAACTTTGCAATTACAATTACGTCTGGGGCCGCCGCAAGCGGGCTTGCACAGTACGCGACCTCCATTGTCAAAGAAGCGCTAAAAAGCATTCCAAATTAAGTACTTATTCGATTTGAATTGTGTAATGATATAAAATGAAACAAAACATTACGTTGAAAAAATAAACTGTGAGCTTCAACGGTCCAAGTGTTAATACGTTAAAGAAAACATTAACATTATTTAATTATATAATCGCATTGTTAATTATAACCTTATTCCAACAATCTACTAAGTTTAGAATTCCTTTTCTGAAGAAAACTTTTTTCTTTGGATACTAAACTCCTTTGTACATTATGTTGCGAATGGAAGGTTTTATTTCTTATGCTGTATTCTAAGGACCTAGTCATTAGGGGCAATATCCGGCAAAAATAGAGGATGTGGTAGAAGTTCCCATCTTAACTGCCTAATTTTTTCTTAGCCATTCTTGCAGAATGTGGTTTTGCATTATCTTTTTGCAATATTACCCCTTTTCAAGTGACAAGCGCAGGACATTTCATTAACAATGGCTTCTGTGACAGTCTTACGTTGTTCCATGAGTTTGTAACGAATCACCGAGTAATTCAATTGATTACATGTTAAATTATAAGGTTTATATAATAAAAAATTTAAATTTAAAAATATTAAACCGAAGAAATTTTAGTTATTTTTAAAAATTTAATTAGTTACTTTATGTAATAATGGAGATATATTTCAAAATACATGTAAATTAAAGATTTTCATTTATGTAAGTTTGCAGGAATGTAAAAGTATAAAAGCTATTTCAACTTTTCAAGCTCTGTTATATATAACAGATGGAAAGTATGGCGATTGGTCAAAAACTTGGGGGTTTCTATATGTATGGATGTTAGTGTGTGGGAGGCACGATTTTTGTTTACTTTCTTTGAAGCTTAATAACGCCTGTGCTTTTTGTCAAAAATTTCTGAAATTTTGCAGAGGGTTTATGTGTTAGGAGGATTGATGCTATTAAATTTTGGTTGTTAAAGGTCAAGGGGTTGGGAGATAACGGGATAGTGTGTATCTCCAGTAGGATCGGACTTCATGACGATTATACTGATTATAAGCATTTACAATCATTGTACAAAACTCATCACTGCCCTCTAAATTAAGCATTTTGCTATTTTATAGTAATTAATAATATAAAACGCAACAAAATCGCATAACAGATGGCGCCACATACAATTTTATTTATTATGGTTAATGATATAAATGTTATTTTAAAAATAAAATCACTTAGCCGCCGGGAAAGTTATTCAACTCGTTGCTAATTGTTTTTAAACTCAGATAATTAGCAAAAATTATCAACTCTCTTTTATAACTGATCCGCACAATTGGGTATTAAAATTTTTACTCTAACTGGTATACAATTCATTTTTTTGATTTACAATTTTTGAATTATTAATGAAACAATCTAAAAACAAACATTTTTCGGTATAATATATTAAAAAGCGGGACTGTTTCCCCTAATTTGAGATGTCTGGTCACTTACACACCACGTAAAATCGATTCCATTCATTAGAACGATACTAATAAATTCTAATGAGTTCAAAATTAAACTTCAAAAATTTCGAGCTTTAATAATAATAATAATATTTAAATTCTGCAAATAATTATTTGAATAATTTTGATTTAATTTTGTACAGCACTTGGATATAAATTTAAAAATTTTTTTCTCCGGAGAAAAGAATACTGTAATGAATTTAGAGATACAGATATTGCCATCTGTTGGAAATTTTTATCATTAAAATTTCGCATTAAATAGAAAATTATAAAACATTTAATTTTATGGGTTTTTATGATAATGTCGTTTTTGTGAATCGTCGATGATTGATACATTAATTTAAGAAAGTAAAATAAGTGAATAAAGAAATTGCATTTTAAGTATTTATGAAAAGACATACAGTACTGTATATCAACAATTTTCCAGAGAAGGTTCATTATTTTCCCGTACAGTAGCGCCACCGTCGCGCCGCCATTAAGCTACTGCAAAAACTAGGAACTGGGAATATAATTGATTTTGAAATTACTAATAGAAATTCATCCATAATGCCCAATTTTGTTAGTAATTGTAACGGATTTTATATTTTAAATTGTATCAGAATTAAGTCTGATGCAAAATTTTCGCGGATTTTTGCACAGTTTCTTCTACACAATTGTATTTTCTAATTTATTTTCAAATGGACAATCGTTTTCACTAATTAATACTATAAAATCTTGAAATAATTATACGAGAGAATATCCAGCTGTATTTGAATACCTTATTAAAAGTAAAGCCTGTGATTATCAAGAAATGCTTAATGACAGGAATCTTGACAACAATTATTTTTCAAGTGGTAAAATAGGTGAAATTTTAATTAATAAGTTGTCACAAAACATTTATGTCCTTATGACAAATATAGAGCCATCACAAACCCTTTCTGTAAGTCATCATTCTGTATGGACTTGTGTCTAATAATGGCAGTTATTTATCTAGCTGGATGTAAATGCATGGCTGGTTAACTATTCTCTTTTTAAATTTTAATCGTGGGACTAAAGTTGTTCTAATTTAAGCAGGTGTTCCATATTAACAGATTAACTCAGGATCTGTACTGAGAATGGAATTGGGAACACCTCCTCTCGCTATTTATTGATAAATTTGTTTCGGTTTTGGAGGAAACATGGAATTACAGGAAGACAATTATCGAAAATTGATATATACAGTACAAAACTTTCACGTATTAATAATAATTCTTTTTCGGCCTGTTATAGAAAGGACTAATAAACAATATTGGACTGTCCTCCTTTAGCTATACATAATTCTCAAGTAAAAGTTTGTTTCTTCTAGATTGCGATCAACATCTAAGAGACATATTGGTTACATGTTTATTATTTCAGTGAAAGAGGTTGGAACTCTGGATCTTTTCTTATTGGAATATGGGCTCCAACATTATATTTATTATCTAATTTGAGTTACAGAATAAAGTCATTTGCTACACAATTTTAAATAGGTTTTCTATAAACTTAAACAATAAAATAATTAATGTTTCGTGTGACTCTAGGAGTTCTTTTTGTGGAATGACAGTGATGTTTATGAGAAAACACCTTCTTGATTCTTGTAACATTATTTCAAATATCAGAGTTGCTAAACTGACATCTGAATTTTTTTATCAAATTTTATTAGGTGACAGTTTTGCCATGTTAACATTATATAAATTGTAAATTTTTTCTTCATACCGTATATCAACTTTAACATAACAATGTAATTTGTATCCTTTTGTAATAGTTCCCGTTATATGATATAATAAAGCTTGATTGATTGATTTTAAAAAATGTCATCACGTGAAAATGAATAATTATTTAACTGGAATGGCTGAATATACAGACGATTTCGATGCATCGTGTTTTCGTGTACATCACATACATCTTCAAACCACTTAGAAAATACTCTCTGACTATTATGGCAACCAACCACTGCACAATATCTTCCGGAAGGTTTTTATAAGGCATGTATCCAATGAAAAACTAAAAATTGCAGACCTATACTAACAACTAGCAGTATCAGAGTCGATAGATATATTGGTTTCTCAGCTACCAGTAGCTCTAAGGCTACGAAAGCTATCCGTAGCTGAGAGACCAGTATATTTATCGAATCTGGCAGTATCTTAACGACTAAAGATTGTAGAACCTTTGCAATAAAAGGGCAGTTTGAACACTAGCCCATTTTTACTTGTTCTGTTCTTCGTCAGTTACGAACTGCGCAACCTCAACCAAACATCGTTGTTGATCGATCACCACAAGTAAAATAGCCGACTATAACTCGACTTATATCTGTATTTATTTTATCTTAGAATATCAGCAGAGGCGAATTTAGGAGTGCATAGGGTACAACTGATCCCTTCCTGAGGATTTATTCGAGCCCACCATTGGCTGAGTTGATAAAACTACTGAATACTGGTAATTGTAGTGGATTCGTGCATTTTCCGGGTTTTCTTCATGTTTGTAACACCTAAATTGAGCCAGTTTCCTATAGAAAGTCCTCCTGAGAGGCATTGCCCACGTGTCGCATTATCGTAACCAAACCTAACCAAACCGATTTCCAAGTAAAGCCAGGTAGCTCAGGTAGCAAAAACTTAAAAGGCATAAGTTATCGTTCCTTTCTGCATCCCTCCAAAAATTTCTTCGAGGAAACTGTAAAACTGAAAAATGAATTAAACAAACAAAGTCAAATTATAAAACAAAAAGTATAAAACTACTGTATAATCAAAATATGTCAAAAAACTTTATCTGTGACAAACACGTAAATGTTATATTGTATAAAACAAAATATGCATGCACTAATATATAGGAATAGGGAGTGAACCCAATCGATGTTTATTGAACGCTTCTCGTGGCTATGAACAATTAAGACAAAAAGTGAATTCACAATTGATTTTAACCCGGTGCACGCTGTTATGTTTCAGCCGTCAGCAGAAAAAAACCTTCGCTGATGCCACTGCCGATTTTAATTACAGTAGAACCTCGAAAACTCTGCCTAATGTGGACCGAAGGGTGGCCGAGTTTGTGAAAATGCCGAGTTATCGGGAATGGGATTAAAAAAAATAAGTACGAGTGTTTCCTCAGAAAATACTGTACTGTACTTGTATGTATTGTTTACTTGAGAATATAACAGAGAATAAACTGCCCAAATACCCTTAAGCAAAGGAAAAGTACGTACTTTATGAAGGCACAGAGCCTTTACTACATGAAAATGAAAATTAATGAATACACTGTGTACAGTAATTTACCTGATAAGACAGACCTCAGAAAAATACTTTATGAGAGCTTTTATACTTTTATAAAGCTGTCTATAATGAAAATTAATTAACTA